CGAAGTTACGGAAAATTAATTAACAAACGGAGACGTAACAAAGCACTTCCACTAAAAACAAAGCACAATATCAATATTTAGATATCAGCATCATTAATCAAACAATCAAGTTTAAAGTTTTCAATGAAATAAGCATACAAATACTCCAAACAAGTTATATTACAATGTTTACTACTTTTAGCTTATTACATACAATATAATTTGTTCATCATTACAATATTCTGTAGAGAGAGATCATAAACTTACTCTTATTTTGTTTAATTGGGGTTTCTCATTGACCATTTTAAACACAAAATTCATTCAATTCTGTGGGAAATTCAACAATATTCTTGCTACAAATTATGGGTTTAGAAGTTTGACCAAGTCTCACGACCTTTTAAAAGTTTCGCATCTACATTCTAATACCTTGGGATATTGTTTGAGGTAATACTGAAAAAGCCTTAGCGTATCGATCACCAGTGGTTTGACCTTTTATTATTTTAGATTGTATATATATTAGAGATGCACGGGTAGTAAAATTTGGCTGAATACCACATCTGGGTACCTGGTCACTAAGCTTCGGCCAGGGCCAGGTGTCAACCAAGACCGGTTCTCCCCTTTGCCCCCACCCAAAAAAAAAAACATACACAAAAATTAGAACCAAAAACAAAATTGACGTTTATTACACTTAACTGAATAATCACACAAAACATTCAAGTTATACTTTCCACTTTCAATGCCTAGCCCCAACTTCTAAAACCCTAACCCCTATTGTTTTCAAAACCCCCACCTTCTCCAGAAATCCACTTCTCAAACCATGCCTGTTAATAACCCCTATTGTTTTCTGAATCCCCGATTTTCAGTGGGCAGTCAGTTTTTGTTGCTCAGAACACATTTTTTATAACTAAACCAATTACTGACTGTACCACATAAGTTGCCACAAAGATTGGGGCTTAGATGCCTAATTTTCACACTCGGCTGAAGCTGAGTATTACCGCGTAGACCAATACCCAGCAGGGGCCGAATATCTGGCTGGGTACCCATGCATCCCTAATATATATACAGTTAATGTCAGCTATACAACAGTTCCAAATACTGTATGAGATTATGTCATTAATTACATCAGTTTTTGATAATTACTTTCTTTGCCATATTAATGAGTTTTGTAACTTTTCATTCTAAGTCATACTTTTATTTTAACCTTCTACTTTGTAGAAAATTACTGTGTTTCAGTTTTGACTTTTACAGAATATTTAACATTATTTATTACTTCCTGTAGCCAGATCTATGTGTTTGTAACAGGAGATACTAAAAGTACGAGTGGTAATGTTTTAAACACACCACATATGTTGTTTTTCTTTGCGTTACATTTAACATTATTACATTTCCATGGATAGTTCAGGTATTATTTTATTTTATTTATTATTTTGTATATTCATAAGCATTAGTTACTGCTACTAATTTGACACAGTTTTAATGGTAATGTGTTGATATAAATCTATCACAGATATCACTTTCCTCTAATGTTACATAGTAGGAGTGGCTTAATAATCTTTCTTTGGTCAAAGAAAAAGAAGAGCTGAAAAAAAAACAGGCATGTTATACTAAGGTTTTTTTTATTTCAAATAAATTTACTCTACAACAGTAGTTCAAGCCAACAGCTAGTGTTCTTACTGTTACTTTCATTAACAGTATCTGTGATACTATTTAGTATATCAAATATCATTACTTTTATTACAAAAATTGTTTTGAATTGTTAACTTAATAAATATATATGACCACAACAAAAGGCTATATTTAATTAGATATATTGATTAACAGGATAATTTAGGGTTTCATATAATCAAGAAAGATGTAACATTTTTGCTGTTCCAAAGGCTTTTATCAGTTTCCTCTAGTTAAAAGTTTCACCAATAAAAGGATACTTTAAAAAGTAGACAAACTTGAAATTATCTGAAAAAAAATTTGCCTTAAAATCCATGAGTTTTTCTTAACTACTAGATTTGATAAAATGGGTTACAATTGCTATATTAAAAGTTGAATTTATTTACTAGTTCTAATATTTCTAATGACACTTACGACTATCACCAGCAGAATTCTCACTAGATTTGTTCAACAGTGAAAATACAGGATTGAGAACAGTAGATCCTTTAGTTTTAGTAATATATGTGGTAGCTTCAGTAGTTGTAGAAATCTGTACAGTCATGGGGGTCTCACTAGTTATGAAAGTTTGAGTAGTTGTGGTAGCTCCACTGGTAACATTTACCAGTGTTACAGGTGTTGGACTGCTTGTAACATGTAATGTGGTAGTGTTGATCATTTTTGGCAATCTCACAGTTGAGAAATTGGAGAAAGAACAAACACAATTTTTTTCTTCAACTGAAACTCCTCCTTGCCATTGGCAAACACTTTGATTAAGTGCCTTCTCTACTTCATTAGCACTTTGGCAATTGCGTGACCTTTTACGAACAAGAGATGGGTCACATTTGTTACTATGGAAACAGGATGACCATTGACTCCACGATGACCAAGAAGCTGAACAAAACATAAAATTAGATCAATAGTCATACAGATACTATTTATCTCCTTTCTTTAAAGAAAAACAATGTCAATATCACAATAAGACTAAACAAATGTAAAATTTTAAACACCAAACAATTGATGATAAAAATTATCAAGTGTTTAAGTGTAATAAACAATGTTTAAAATTCCATTCCATGGTTGAGAGAGATGCTTACTTCCTGATCCACAGTTTGAAAAAGAATTTCATTAACAAGGAGATGATAAGCATGGCTAGCCAAAACATAGAAATTAAGTATCATACGACTTAGTACTAAGACTCAGCTCACACTGTAATATTCAACATTGTATAATTTTTATCAGACTATTGCATTGTATATATCTTAGTATGACTACATATGATATATATATACATATAGTTTTGGTACTATATTTGTTTGTACCTGTTGAGAAAAACAAACATATTTGCAAATCAACTGAGTATTTTGAAAAAGTGTCTTAAGAAACAATACACCAATCAAAACTAGAATAGAAAACTTGACATTTAATATTGGTAACAGGCACAATTTCTACTATATTCGAATTGCATTGTACACACATACTATCAGAAGAGGTAAGATAGATAAGTCAATAAATCTTCGGGATCTAGAACTCTGCAGGGGTAAGAGCACGTCACAAAACTTTTTATGCATAAAACAGTTTCTTACTCAATCACACTTTTCTCCAACAAAAGTTTCTCAGGACTCAGTAATGTCTCCAACAAAATGACTCATGAGCACATGCCACTGAATGATCATTCATTGTACTGACCAATGTTGTTTATGTGCAAAATAAGCATCCATTAGAAACAATTTTATTGTTAGTTCAAAAATAGTTTGGTTAGTGAATATCAATATAATAATTACCCTGTATCAATTCTGTGTGGTTTTTACACACAAGCATAATATGATCTAACATCCATTACAAAAACATGATTTAAGCAGAAGTATGACAACAGTTACAATTAAGTATTAAAAACAAAAGTAAAAACACGAAAACATCAGTTTTCTTAGTAAATTCTTTGTGCTGTAAACTTTTTAAATATATATGATATTTATAGAAAATAAAGTCCTTGCAAGACTTCTTATTGTGAATGAAGCCCTACTCTTGCCACATTTTTAATACATAACTTTTGTAATTACTTTCAATTCCATATTAGTTCTTTATGAGATAAATCTTAAAGAAGCCCAGTGAGAAGCAGAGCATGTGTGATGAGACATGATCTATAGTGAATAAATAAGCAGGTTCTTGGATGCCATTATTGATTCACTGTTCAGAATTAATATTCATTGGAGCATTTTTGAGATAATAATCTATTTGTATTTATTAAGTCATGATTTTAGAAATAATTATGGCTACAAATCCAAATTAACCATCAGACTTATCAGTACACATTTTTACTTGTATTGATTATCAACTGCACCTGAATATAAATAGCATAATGAATCGCAATCTTGCCCCAAACTTTACACATGACCATAATTTAGAATATTTTGTCACTAAGTCTGCCAATTTCAATATTAACTGATAGATTATTGTAATTATATCAACCAATCACCTTGAATGTTAAAACCTGGTAAATTTCTATGCTAAAAAAAGTTTTGATCTATTTAAATGATAAGAACAAACAAACTAACTCTTTACGTGTCAACTACACTGTCTTATTTGATGGCAGTGTAAAGTGTTCTACAGGAAACACAAATGTATCTATAAAAAAGGTTGTTTACAAATTTGATGCTATTAGAGAACTTCTGAGGTATTAATCATACGAGACTACAATGTTTGGAAACTTTTGAATGTATTTCTACAAAAATAACACAAACTTCAATTTTTTTAACTTGCTTGTGATACATATTAACTGAATAATGATGATGAATGAAAACTTTAATCAACAAAAACCTAAGTACTTATGCCCTATAACAGAAAATCATGCAGGTAGCATACATGCCCAAATATGATTCTAAGAAGAAAAACAATTAAAAACACTTGTTCTGGTATGCTGGTATGCTTTTAAACAATCTTAAGATACATATATAGTGCTAATAGATTTGAAATACCTTCAGTTTTAGTTCATATTCTTCTTTCTATAATTAATAGCTTGCTTTACTAAAACCTTTGTATTTATCTGTGCCTCATTTATCACTTCTAGGCAACAGAATAATTAAATTAAAATAATGCACTGAACTAGTTAAAAAAAACAATAAAAAATACTTAAATAAAGTCACTTTTCCATTAGGAATTTACAAACTGTTTTTTAAAAGTTGTTTTTAAAATTTGTTCTCTTCTACACATTGTTCTAGCACATTCAATTATTTTGAACAAATATTTAACTTCACTTATTTATCACCTATTTATATTAATCATCAAAAGTTTAAATGAAATATTTCAACTCACCACTAAGTCTAAATGTCACAGATCCAATATCTATTTTGAGTGATCCACCTGCTAAGGAACCATTGGTCTGCTCAAGTACTTTTGTGAAAACCTGGCCTACTTCATCAGCATCATTATCGAGAGCAACATTAAAGAAAACTCGACAATTTACAATGACACTTCCTGGTCTAATTTATAAAAATAAACAAAATACAACATTACTCTTGATCCCACTGACAAAGAACCATGCAGAAATTTAATCAAACCACTAAAATTTAAGTCAAACTGCTACAATTTCTCAGGTGTTTTTACCAATGACACAATGATACAGTATTGTGTTTTATTATACAAATCTAAAAAATTCTTTAAACACTGAGGCTCAGAAGCACTAGCAAGAAATTATATTAATTTCAGTACCACAAAAATTAGCAATTTGGATAAAGTATACATTCATTTATTTTCTTAAAAACAAGCTAAACTTAAACTTCTGTTTTTCTTGTCAATGAACTTTACTTACATGAAAAATAGAAAACATTATTAATATAAAACTTCAATTAAACATTGTTAATGGAAACAAAATTCATATGAATCTTTAAAAATTCATATTTAAGAAAATCAATTAAATAAGATTTTTTAAATAGCTTTATATTTTAAAAAATCCATAAACAATTCAGTATAGCAAGAAGATATAGTATTTCTAACATCATGCTCAAATGTTATGTGAACAAAAAAATATAACTTTCCAACATCCATTTGAGTAAAAAAAAATTATGACTATGCAAGCATAAAAAGTATTATTTTATTTTTTAAACATTCTATTGTATTGGATGTTTTGGTGTTTCCAGATTTTGTCTTCACCTACTGAATGACTTAAATAACTGTGGGCTTTGTATAAAAATTCTATAACCAATTAGTAAAATGGATTTATAAAGGACAACATGCTGGAAGGTTTCTCTGTTAGAGATGACGTTTTGACACACTTTTTTAGGTCTAAAGAAGATCCATGAAGGTAAAAGTGTACTGAAATGTCATCTCGAACAAAGAAACCTTTTAATAAGTTGTCCATTATGAATCTTATTTTATCAATGAATTCATCTACTAACTATAATCTTTAAAGAAGTTCTGTAATCAATCATCAGAACAGAGCTCATACATTTGTAAATGTCTCGCATCACAAAACCAGTACCACGACAATGATGTAGAAAATGATACATTTACCTCAGTAAGATGAAGAAACACAATAAAAACTTGATAATACTCAATACACTTACTAATTTTTTGAATATTTAATAATGGTTCATAAACTGAAGATAGTTTTACTGATAAACATCATGTGAAGAGGAATGTCATTCAGTACACACCCTTCTTTATAACCTGCCATCATCCACTAACCATCAGATAAACTTGTTCAGTCAAAAATCTGAACAGTTCAATAAATTAATGTGCCCAACACTGAAGTAATAGTGAATTAGTAATAGCGGTATTTTTTTAGCAGTAATTACAGAAACAAAATCCTTCTTTTCTCTAGTTGTTTGCATGAGAGGCGATCATTGTTAAAATCCTACTACACTTATTTTACATCTCTGTGACGGTACCAAAATATTTCTTATAAAAATATTTACCTGAATTTCATAATCAAAGTTTTGTTATACCTGCTTGCCAGAGAACTTACTTCAAAAAGTCTATCAACCTACAAAAATGGAATGATACAGTTGTCAATACATATGTTATTTACAGAAAATACATATATACAATTTACAGAAGGTCAAGAACACTTTCAACAGCATAAATATTTGTCAGGTCCAGATCTAAACTAGTACTGCAAAATATCATTTCCAAACTAACACTGAAGAATGAAACTGAATAATTACCATGCAACCTACAACATAATTTAAATACAGAAAACATCATTGAATAAAATAAAAAATTCTGTTGGAATATTTTTCAGAAGTGTTACTAGTTTTTAGTAATGTTTTCAATACAAGGCATTTATTTCCATGTTTACAGCTTAAAGTATAAAACTAAAGTTAAGTTAAATATATTAATACAATGAGTTCTTTAACCTAAGCTTTAAAACTTTTATCAACAATAGTCACAAAATAATACTGTTACGTCTCCGTTTGTTAATCAACTTTCCGTAACTTCGTTCCGACGAAACTTTAACGACACAAGTCTTTACTTAATAAAACTGGTTTATTCTTTCCGAATATAACTTTACGATACACTTAATTTCAAAATTCGCGCTAAAACAAACACTATAACAACGAACGTTAACTTCAACAATACGTCTCTCTCTGACCACAGTTCAATTACTCATTACCTACACACACATTACCGCGTCACGTTGTCACCCTCTTATATATACCAGACTACCCTATCTAGTAAATGCTAGGGCATTCGTGAAGGAAGAAGATAGTTCTAGAAACTAGAGGGCGTGAGAATAGTCACGTGATCTCGATGACGCAACACTGCCCCCTCTTTAGTATTGTTCGTCCCGAACAATAACCACATACAATAAACCAATAATAATTAACAATAACTTAATTAAATGTACAGAATTACAAACACACAAAATTACAATTCAACAAAGTCTCTTAATTTTATGGTACGTATCTTCTTCCGTACTGGTCTCCGTCTCGTTGGCTTCTGCTTCATATGGGGTTCATCTGCTTCATCAGGAAATGTCCTATCGTCGATAACAGTCACATCAGTGGTAGTAACTTCATCAAGAGCTTCATCGTTTCTCTTCTCAAAACTGAGTAGAGTTTCTTCTTCAACGTTGGCTTTTTCAGGTGACACGTCTTCAGGAGCGTCATTTATTCTGTTGTTCACTTCATCTACTTGATTTGCCACCTCTGATTTCCATTTTTTCCCTTCCCACTCTCTGACACCAATTTGTTACGTCTCCGTTTGTTAATCAACTTTCCATAACTTCGTTCCGACGAAACTTTAACGACGCAAGTCTTTACTTAATAAAACTGGTTTATTCTTTCCGAATATAACTTT